GGCGTGTTAGAATGAGCCGTTTTAGGGGGGCGTGGCAGAGTCTTAACTTTGATAAAGAATATCTCTTTGGTTTTGAGACTTTAGTCTTTGCAACTTCAGGGATCTTATCTATGCACAATCAGCTTGTAACACTCCAAAGAGAAAGGCAAACTTGAAATCGCATCATATGACCCCTTTAAGATTTTAATAGATGTTTTTGAAAGGAGCTTCTTATGCACACCAAGGCTGCATTAATTTTATTTTAAATACAGTCCAACTGTAATGTTGTGAAATATTAAAATACTTCATGACTGTTTCTATATTAATATATTTTAAAATGTATGTGAATTTTCAGCAGCCATTACTCCAGTCTTCAGTCTTTCAGAAATTATTCTAATATGCTCATTTGTGACCCTGGACCACAAAACCAGTCTAAAGTTGCACGGGTATATTTGTAGCAATAACCAAAAATACATTGTATGGAGAAAACGTATTTATTCAGCTTATATATAAATCTAAATTTTGAAAAATTGACACTTATGACTGGTTTTGTGGTCCAGGGTCACATTTTATGCTCAAGAAATAGACAAAATAGAACATTTTAATAGAAAGTTAAAAAGGACAGCATTTATATTATTTTTTTTTTTACATTATAAATGTCTTTACTGTCACTTGTGATCACTTGAATCATGAATGGTAGTGTTTAAACAGGGTTTTCAAAGAGAAGGCCCTGGGAGTTACATACCAGAGTGGTTATTATACAAAATGTTTGTTATATTATGTTCTTCACTAAATTGTTTAATCAAGGTTTATGAATCTTCCTATATGTGCCAGAATGGCACAATTTAGTCTCCATCCTAAAAGTGATACTATATAAATGGCAGCACAGTGAAATTTATTCCTTGAGCAAACTCGGATCGCTGCCAAGGTCTTTTTGACATTGTTCCAGTTGTTATCTAATCGCATAACTCACAATGTGTATTCTCTCTGGCAGTATTTTCTTAACGGCGGCTCTGGGCTTCCCCGAGGCTCTGATTCCAGTTCAGCTTCTGTGGGTGAATCTGGTGACCGACGGTCTGCCTGCGACTGCACTGGGCTTCAACCCACCCGACCTGGACATCATGAGCAAACCCCCTCGCAATGCCAGAGAACCCCTCATCTCTGGATGGCTCTTCTTCAGATACCTAACCATTGGCTGTGAGTGCATCACATTTATTTATTTATTTATTGTTTTTACATTTGTAACTTTTAGTTTTTACTTCTTTTTTTTTTTGGGCTAAAGAAAGCTAGATTTGACACATTGTTCTCCATGTCACCCTATAGGTTATGTGGGTGCTGCTACTGTAGGTGCTGCTGCGTGGTGGTTCATTGCTGCTGAAGATGGGCCCAGAGTCACCATCTATCAACTGGTTAGAAACTCCCCTTACATTTCAATAAAAAAAAATTTCTCAAACAAATGCATTCTAATGTTTAAATTTGCCCCTGTCATTTTTTTGTATCCCCACAGAGTCACTTCCTTCAGTGTGCACCAGACAACCCTGAGTTTGAGGGTCTGAAGTGTGACGTGTTCGAGTCTCCCTATCCCATGACCATGGCGCTGTCTGTACTAGTCACCATTGAGATGTGCAACGCCCTTAACAGGTCAGTATCGGAAGTGCGCTGCAATAAAGGAACAGCTTATCCCTGAAAATGCCCCAATTGACCCTTCGCAAAAACCTGCCCTCCTTAGTTACTGTTTCTATGTCCGACAAGCCATGCCTCTCTCACATTACACACCATGTTCTCACGCAGTAAAAAATACATCACGGAGCAAAGAGGAAACTGAAAACACGCCAACAGACAAGACAGAGCAGGATACTTCTTGTATGAAACAAGCGCTTCTTTTGTTTTTGTTTTTTAAGAAATTCAAACAAAAATACCGTTTTGTGGCTCTTTAATGTGTCGTGACAGATCGCTGTATTGCCTCAGTTCTAGCGGCACATGTGAACTGATCGTCTTTTCATATTTACTTAAAGCACAAAATAAACATCATAACGTATTTTATTTAAACCGTGGAAAGACGTCAGTACACACAATTTAAGTTTAAGTCCACTGAAGTTAATCTACTCTCCTGTCTGATTTGTTTGTCAGGCAAGATGGCGGATTCGGCGTTATGATTGGCCAGATCGTCTGTCAATCAAGCTTTTTGCGAACGGTCAATTAAGTTCCTATTTACATCCTATTTTCATCCGATCACAAAGAACGAGACAATGCTGTATACACCTGGGAGTAACTTTTTTGTAACTGTGTAAACTGTGTAAATGTGGTCAGATTTTAAAGGGAGTTTTTTGATTTTGTGACTGCATAAATTACTTGCATCTTTTTTCCATTAACAATTTTGATAAAGCATTTTATTAAATTCAGTTAAATTTAGTTCGTTATTTGTATAGCGCTTTTCACAATACATTGTCTTAAAACAGCTTTACAGAAAATGCTTTTTTCAATGGCACAATTGGGAAGTATTCTGTTATCAGAAACATGAGTGTATCAAATAATTTAATAAAGGATAAATTAGGGATAATATTAGACAGTTTTGTAAAAAAAAAAAATCTACTTTTTATTTGATCAAAAGTGACAAAGAAATTTTTGTTACAAATGCTATTTTTTGATGAGGGACAATACATTTAAACCCCATTTACACTATCAGCTGAAATGGATTTTAATACCAGGTGTTACCAGCATAAGTGGTTGATTGTGTATGGAGATAGAATTGTTGCTTAATTCCAAATAAATAGATTATGATCGTGTAAATATTCAGTCTCTTAAATTCACAATGTTATCTTGTTGATGTCCTGTCATAGTGTTTCTGAGAACCAATCTCTGCTTCGCATGCCCCCCTGGGAGAATGTGTGGCTGCTTGGAGCCATCTGCCTCTCCATGTCCCTCCACTTCCTTATCCTTTATGTGGAGCCCCTGCCGGTAAGATCAGTTTTGATCAATAAGATGATCAGTTTCAGTGTATTGGTTCTTTTACTCTCTTTTTTTGCAGTCTTTGTAGAATTGAATGAATTCCAATTTTTAACAGTTCTAAGTGAATTTATGTATTTTTAACAGTTCTAAGTGAATTTATGTATTTGTATTGTTTTGTGATCAAACTGTTCTGAGTTTAGTAAATTGTCCATTTATTATTTACTCTGTATAATAGTTCAAATGACTCCGTTTTCTCTACAGATGATCTTCCAGATCACCCCACTGAACGTGACCCAGTGGCTTACAGTTTTGAAGATTTCCCTGCCTGTCATCTTGCTGGACGAAGTGCTCAAGTTTGTGGCTAGAAACTACCTGGACAAGCCCAAAGATCTGGACAGTCCCAAGGGCAAGGCCTGCTTGCTCAGCACCTGCGCGGAGGGCATTTCCTGGCCTTTCGTGGCTTTCTCACTCCCCCTGGTGCTGTGGATCTACAGCACTGACACTAACTTGGCCAAAATGTTCTGGTCTTGACTGAAATGTGCACAGATGTGTGTAGATAGTGTGTACGTGTGTCTGTGTGTGTGGTTGTGCGTTTAAAGTGTGCCTCCGCAACAGAGAATGTGTACGAGAAGGACAGGACTAACTCAAAAATAACCGTGATATAGAAATATAACCTTTTTTTTTAACATGTCCAGTGGGGATTGAGGAGACCATACAGACCTGAAGTCTTCAAGTATAGTGACCATTGATTTCTTTTTGTTATTGCATTTTTAATCATTTGTTTAATGTCTTATTTCAAACCAGTATCAATTATGATGATATCCAATTTGGTTTGGCCCCAAATTATGTTTAAATGGCTGAATGGGAAAAAAAAAGTGCTTGTGTACAGACATTTAACACTATTTTATGCAATTGTTTATTTGTTCAGTTTGCTAACAGAGAGCAGAGTGGGTAGGGTAGAAAGAGAGAGTGAGAGAACAAGACAGAACTGTTTACTAATGTTTACCTTTGTGTCTTTGGCGTGAACATCGCTCAGAGCCAATGGACTAGCATGGTGTTTCAAAGCAGCATGGGAAAGAGAGTGCTGGACTGAATGTTTGAATGCTTCACAGTCAAATCCTCAGATGAAAGCTGCATGTTCTGTATTTTGCATGCATTTTATGTGGTTTTTCACTTATGATTTGTACCTGTATGTCTTTCCCCATGTGTAATAACTTCCATTTTTATGGGTATATATTTTGTTTCCACTATTACCTGACACTTTTGATTAGTAAAGCCAGTTTTTCTGCACTAGGCAGAGTACAGCTACCTCAGGACTGTCAGATTAGACTCTCTCTGGTTGCTTCTCCCCACTTAGCTTTACACCGCTTGTACACATTAATGCATGAGGTTTGCCTCTATTTGATGATAAACCGAATTTAGATTCTTTTTGCCCTAACTAATCTGTTTTAAGTTTTGTTTGTTTGTTTGTTTGTTTGTTTTCACTGTATTTTATAATTGATTGAACTTGCATTAACTTAATTTGGGGGTTTTGTTTTGGGGAGGGGTGGGTGGACAAAAGAAGTAAATGTTACCGTTTAGTGGGTAAGGCCAGAGACAAAGGAGTAGAAAATGTAACCAGCAAAGGTTTAGGTGTTGCATTCAAAACATGATTTTTACAATGCAAAACCAAAATGTTTCATGCTACCTTTTTCTCTATTTTTAGGAAAATACACTCATGAACCATTTGAATTAAAATGTGTGTCTTCATTTTACTAGCTGGTCTGTTCCTGTGATGCAACACGGCAAGTTTTAGGAGCAAATATACTTGAATAAATGAAATTAATGTACAGAGATTTAGTTACATAGCTGAGCACAAGATTGACAGCTGGGAGGGGCTTCCTTGAAAAGGGGTTCCTGTTTGGCCCTCACCAGCCAGTCTGGTAGTGGCCTGTATATTTGTACACATGCAGCACATATATCCGAACGGTACAAAGTACTTTTTCTTTTTATGAAATAGAGCTTTCTGGCATTTAGTTGTCCATTGCATCACACTAGTTCTTGCTTGCTAAAATGGATGCATGTCCCTGACTATGCCCTTGGTGTGGAATTTCAGTATTTTTCTAACAATCATGCACATTCCCTTAGCCTTCAGTGGACTTGCATTTAAGCGAGTGTCACTGACATTGCTGCCACTCATGTCTCCGCTCCTTTTCACTATGTTACAACAATGTCCCGAAGCTTCAAGTTTTCTGACAATGGACCAACCCTGCTAACATGTAAATCTGTTGGAATTCCCACTACGACTACTGTAGCTGTTTATAGCTGCATTTAACACATGGCCATATCAGCTTGAATACACTCCACTGTTATATTCCACTGCAATATATGCTGTTTTTAAGAAATATATAATATATTGTAAAGACTTGGTCAAATTACTTGCGTGATTGTTTTCTTTACCCCTTATAATTTCAGTCTTGTCTCTGAATGATATGAATACACCATTAGTTTTTTATTAGAATGGTCCGTACACTGTGGTCTGACTTGCTCAGGAACTGAACTTGGATGTTGGCATAAATGACTCAAATGAAAACACTATTGCCATTAGAAATATGTTGCAGTCTCTTTTTTTTAGTAAATGTTGCCTTTTGTATTAATCACTCATACAATTATTTTCCTCTTTGTCATACTTGCTTATATGCTAAATATTTATTTAATAGTGCACTTGGCAGACACGCCAAATCTGCACAGTCTAATTATCAGCGACAAAATGGGATAATCGTGAGCGTCTTTAGAGAATTTCGTCAACGGGAACTAAACGACCGATCAAGGAGAGTGATTTTTTCCCCAGTCTACACAGACGTAAGCACAAAGGGGCTTTGGGGATAATGGTGATAAAAAAAGATATTACATTATGAACGCAGGACAACTGGAATACATCGTCACAGACACGACCGGACCGTATAATTTGTTTATGGCGACCAGTTTAATTTGAAAAGCATTCTAAGGAGTATTTTGTTCATCTCGTGCGCTCTGGAGAACAGATGCTGTCATTGTGCGGGGGACCGAGATTTGTGCGCGTGATATTCTGCAAGTGGTCTAGTCGGAATGGTGCGCGAGATGAGACTGCGTGTGCCTTTATTGTTTCCGCGCGACATGTTCAATAACGGTCGTTCTGTCGTTGAACAACTCGAGCCCAACGACGACAATTTTGGTACGGAAAGACTGACGTTCGAACTTTGAGAGAATCAAACGGGCCAACTCACAGTCAGCCAGTGATGGAAAATCAGGCCAAGAGAAACCATTCTACACCAACGTTGAGTTCCATCACGACAGGGGACTGGTAAAAGTCAATGACCGTGAGGTCTCTGACAAAATTAGCTCTCTTGGGAACCAAGCCATGCAGATGGAGCGCAAAAGGTCACTTCATTCACTTCCAGGCAACCTTGCTACGGTCGCAGGTGATCTACGCCCCAGGCCTGTCTATAGGGGGCGCTCTACTGAAAGCACCTGCGGATACGATGCAGAGTATGAAGACGGCGAACCCAGTCCTCGCTACAGCACTGCGAGACCAAACGGGGCCAAACCGCCACCGCCGCCATGGCAGCCATCAGATTTCCAGCCATACACTAGTGTTTACGTTGGAGGGATGGTGTCAGGAGAAGGTGGCGACGGTAGGGTCACTATGAGAGACCATGGAGGAAGTGACGACCATCTTCTCACCTGGCCCAGGAGGTCATACTCCCCTGGAAGTTTCGAGGATGTGGGAGGCGGAGGAGGCGGATACACGCCAGACTGCAGCTCCAATGAGAACCTGACGTCCAGCGAGGAAGACTTCTCCTCGGGACAGTCCAGTCACGTGTCACCCAGCCCTACGACAGCCTACCGCCGCCCACTCCGAGAGAAGAGTCGCTCACCTTCTCAGAACTCCCAGAATTCCCAGCACTCATTTGACAGCAGCAGTCCCCCTACATCGCAGACACAGAAACGACACCGGCAGCAACATGTCGTAGTGTCTGAGGCCACCATTGTGGGTGTAAGGAAAACAGGACAAATCTGGCCCCATGATGGAGACTCTATTGCCTCCAGTCGGGCTTCCCATGATAACAGTTACCATGGAGATCTAGGTAAGTCATGATTATCTTGTTGTTCTGTTTTTCTTATCACAGGTGAAGAGGTTCCTAACAAATATCAAATGTAGTGAAAAATGTATGGCTTTACATAAGCAAAATTGGTTGCTGCTGTAAAACTAAATGAGATGTGACATCACTGATGACATCACTGTCAAGATGATATACTGGGTAGCAATGTGCAGCATGGCTGAATAATTGCAAAGCTTTTGGCCAGGCACACTCTTCTTACAGTGATAATGAGTGAGCATTTTGTGTTTTTCTTCTACTCTGCCTGCTTGATCAGTCAACTTTTCTGTTTTTTCTCCTTTTATATTTTGTTGTTCTTCCATTAAATCCCTCCTCTGTCAGCTTCTGTGCTTCCCGTCCCAAGCTATTGTCCACTTTTGTTTCACGCTCTGTCTGCATCGGTCAGATACCGTGACGACTGCTTGCTGCGAGTTGGTTAGTCCGGTCAGATGAGACTCATATATGAGGAGTAATTAACTGGACAAGCTTATTTATGATCATGAGGTCAAGATGTGCGTGTCAGAGTTTGTTTCTTTATGCAGGAGAGGAGCCGAGGAGCTTTCATTCTTGTCACATGCTGCTGTGGGAATCTCCCAAGCAGGACAAAGACCCAATGAATGAGTGTAAATTGTCATACATATTTGCATTCATTTTTATGGTACTGTATTTTAATACCATGATTAATTGACTTGGGAGTTTATAAGGAAGAAATCAGTGGCGCTCATGTGAGCCATCTCTTGTGAAATGCTGTAGTCGAGTGTAGGCAAAAGAGGGAAAATGAATGATTTCACTTTTCTAATTGATGTCCATGTACAGCAATATGAAAAAAATGTGGTAAACCTTGTTGCTGGTCTGAGAGAGTTTGATAATCATGTGATAATAATCTTATGTATTGTGCACTTCTGCAGTTTACATATGTTTTTCCTGCATGATGTTATTTTTAGCAGCAAAATCCCTTATTTTGTAGAGGGCCAGGGAAAAAATGTTGAGAGGGCAAGTAAAATATAAACTACTGGTCCAGTTGGGTCAACTGAAAAAAATCCATAATGGTCTCTCAGGCTCACCAAGGCTGCATTTATTTGATCGTAAACAGTAATATTGTGAAATGTTATTACATTTTATATATATATGTAAGTCGCTTTGGATAAAAGCGTCTGCTAAGTGCATAAATTATTATTATAATTATTATAATTATAAATTATATATATAATAAATTAAAATGTAATTTATTTCTGTAATGGCAAACCTGAATTTTCAGAAGCCATTACTCATTACTAATATGCTGATGTGGTGCTCTTTTTCTTTTTTTTTCTTTTTTTTTACAATTGTGCTACTATTTTTGGGAATCATTGGTGTATATTTTAAATTTTTGATTAATGGAAATTTCAAGAGAACAAAATAATTTATTTGAAATAGAATTTATTTGAAATTTTTGTAATGTTATAAATGTCTGCTGTAACTTTTTTCAATTGAATGTGTCCTCAATGCTGAAGTATGAATTTCTTTCCAAAAAAAAATGAAAACCTTACTGACCCCACGTTAGTGCACTTTGACTAAATTCATGAACTAAGTTTTGCTGGGAAACGTTTGCATGTGATGCATTAGTGATTGTTTTAGACCATTCTTTCAACTAGCCTCAAACTTTTACTGGCTCCAGACTAGTGAGCAGTTCTTATTGTTGAGCCCTGCAGAAGTAGGAACTCTTACTGACCAAAAGTACAGCATAGTACTGTTACCTAATAAGCAGGTGTCTGGAAGATTCAGCCAGAGAGACTGATATCCATGAGTGTGACTCACCAGACTGCTATTTCCATGGTCAGACTTTATAAGCATTCCAAACTTTGCACTGCATTGGTTTACTTGTTTTATCCAGTATCTTTTAACTTGTTTCTCACCAAGAATCAGAATGACATCAGCTATCAGAATGTCTACAGAGGGGAGGCGGTGTCATGTGGCACGCTTGGCTTGAAATCCCAAGGCTTCGAGCTGATGAGGTGAATTGCACTTTGGTGTGAAGCAGACAGACCCGGAGGGCGTTGGCACGGCCCGTCCATTCAAATGCCAGGAAGATTCTCTTTGTGCAAGAGTGAGATAACACAGAGGGCGGACGAAGATAGATAGACACCAGCTGAGCACAGTCCAGTAAGCTCCAGGTTCTTTTGTCCTCATACTGACTTAAAATCAGTGTGAATAAGTTTGAAAACCACCTCGCTTATTTTTAACAGTTAGCACGGCTTGATATAACCAGGTGGCGTTGTAGTAAAAGTCTGTAGCTCTTTAACCTGATTAAATGATTTTCTACTTTAATATGCAACCAGTTATCTTCAAATCAATTTACATTTTAGCTTGAGATGATTTGCACATTTGTTCCTCTTAAACAGTGAATCAAGCCAGTCAGAATGAAATCAATAGAGCGGCCATTCATCTAATGAAGAAAACCTTCGCGGGCCATGCAGGTTACCATTAGCGTGACAGTATGCAACTTACCTTGCCAAGAAAGAGATGCTATCACATATGATCTTGCCTGCCTTTTTATTTTGTTTGACTTGCTGCTTAGAAACATGATATTTTTAAAGGACACTGCCAAGGAGAGGAATGAAATCCAGTGGCCCAAAAATCATAATGCTGTAAGAGAAGAGGGAGACAGGAGGACGTAGCGTGTGCTGAACTGCTGTCTCTCGCCTCAGTGGACATGTGAAGATGTGGGGGCTGCTGAGACACAGATCGGAAAGGCTCTCATTGCATAATGGTGTGAACAGTCCCACTCATGCATGTGTGCGTATGCATGTGTGATTTTGATGTTTGCATGCATTTATTACATCTTTGAGCCTTTACGATAAAAGTAGATAGTGTTCACAGACACCTCTGTGTCCTAATTGCCAGCCTAACCATGTCATCCTTTAAAATTTGCAATTCGGAAGTATTTTAATAAAAGCATTATTTCTGCACACAGAATCAAGCCCATATGCTGAGGTTTCTGCATCTCTTGTTTCCTCGTCCTCCTCAGGGGACTGTTCCCACGGTCAATGTCCCCCTTGTAAACAACAATTGTAATTGTTTCCCGATGGTCCTCTGCCGTTTTGAAGCGGGCATCCAGGAAGAAATGTCTTTTTGTGGTTTACAGATCAGTAGCAATGTCCTTTGGGGTGAAGAGCGAGTGAGTCACGGAGAAAACAAGAGGCAGGGGATGACAGAAAACAGAAAGTTCTCAGACAAACACCCAGGAAAACATCAGTCATTCATTAAAAAGACCAAGCAGCTGCTGTGCTCTGTTCAATATGTTTGCATAAGTCACAAATGACGTTTACAGTGATGCTGGCATTTCAGGTAGTTTGGAAAAGGACTGATGGTTGTGTGGAAACTCTTGTAGTACGCAGGGGAAAATTGTCTCTTTTTTTACCCCACTGCATGAATATGAGTACTCAGCTTTTCAAATGGTGTCATGGAGTATATGCTAATAAAAAGAAAATTAAAATGTATTGTGAGTAGATAAACTGATAAACTGGGCCTTGATGTCAGACATAATGTGACGCTATAAGGATTGAATTTGCAAGAATTTAGTGATCAAGATTCCTCTTAAACGTTCTTCCATAGTGTGTTAAAGAGATAGTTTACCCAAAAATGAGAATGCTGGCTCCTGCGTTAGCAGCACCACACGCATGCATCGTGGTACTCTTGTAGTGTGCCGAAGACTGACATGGAAGTAGACTTGTGCCGGTATTCGGTAATGCGATATATCACGGTAATGAATATGCACGATATTGTTATCATGGGCACTTCTAAATACCGTGAATAATTATATATTACAAATTATTTAGAATTTTGAATGCATTTTAAGAATACTTTTCCCATCAACTGGTCAAAATGCACAACACTGCTGTATGCTGCGTGAAAGACGTGTGTGCACTGGTGTAAATAAGCGTGGACGAGAAGCACATGGCGGAACATGTGAGAGATTCTGGGTAACGTGTCAGTTGCATGGCTGTCTATGCTGGGTCAGAAAGCTCTCGGATTTCATCAAAAATATTTAAATTTTTTGTTCTGAAGATGAACAAGGGTCTTATGGGTTTTGAACGACATGAGGGTGATTAATGACAGAATTTTCATTTTTGGGTGAACTAACCCATTAATTGTTCCTGTAATTATTCATTTATTTTTTTTTAATTTTAACAATAAATTTTTTTAATTTTGCATATTATAATCTTGAATATTTGGATAAAGCCATTGTTCTGTATGGTTTTGATTTGCTAAAAAGAACTGGTTCATAAGTCATTTGTACAGCAATCAGACTACATTCATTGGGCATTAGGGTTTTGATTTACTAAAAGGAGCCTGTTTAGCTGCTCCTTCATAAAAAATATTTTCCCATATTATATAAGATTTGTCATGAGGTTTCATGAAAAGTGTTATTCTCGTCACATATGAATGCCTTTACAAGGGTGAGATTGAGAGAGAAGGTGTGGACAGGAATGGAGGTGTGAGTTCAGCTCAATGCTTGCATTGTCCAGCAGCACCACGTTGAGGTCAGGCCGCCCAGTCGCTTATTTTTAGACAGACACTCCAGATTCACAGAAGTGTGCTTTCTGGTGTCAAGTGAAGTCCAAGAACAGAATGCACACTGAGTGTGTGGAAACAATGACTGTGGTCTTCCCTCTTGTTGTTTTGTGTTCAGGCAAACCCAGAATATTTGGCTAATCCACGTGTCTCCGCTGGTATGTTTTGTAATCTTTGGCAGATTTTGTGAATGCACAGTATTACAGAAAAGATTTCCATTCTAAAGATAGCTATTTGTTGGGTTTTCTAAATAGAAATTGAAATGCAAGACTAGCAGAAAAAATGGCAAAGCATTAGTGGGGGTTATATGTGGGAAAATAACACAAAGTCATGTTGTGAGAAAATCACATGGACATGAGCAGGAAAACTCTGATTAACGCCAATTCAACAAGGCTCTGCCTCCCAGTGTGTTTGGAAAGAGAGAGTGAGAGCTT